CCTTATAAAAGAAGCAATCACAAACGGATTTGCAAATGCAAGTTATACATGTACCTGTGTAGAAACCATTACATAGGCAAATCAACATGATTACCCTTGTATCTATTACCATGAATGCAAACTAGGGCCCCCGTTTTTCTAAGGCACATTCCATTCTAGTACTTAATGATCGCAAAGACATTCACAAACAAAAACATAAGGCAATTTCATTAGTCTTGTCCATCATCACCTATTGCACTGTGTGAACGTTACAATGACATATTACATTATATGAACATGGTTTATTATGGGCTATAGAAGGAACGTTGAAATTCTCTTGAGTTGATTTCTCCAAAATCTTTGTGATCATGTTTTAAGTACTAAAAAGTAAATTATATCATCTTAGATTTATAGGCTTATGTACAAACATGATTCTATTGAAGCCAATGCAATCACTGATGACTTCACTTCAAAGTGCAGCAATGTTTAATACATGTATTTTCAGGAAAAAAATATATATATAAACGCTGTGTTGACAATCTTTTCCAATAAATAATTACTACAAATTTTAAAAATTCTATGCAAACAAAAATATCATTACAATAGCAATAGGAATAGCAAACATTTGAATTCAGGTAAACTATTTTTTTGCACAAGCTCGAAAGAATATGATGAACATGCAGTAAGCTCATTTTATAATACATGTACGTACAAAAAAAACACTTTAAACAATGGCAAGTAAATGGTAGATTGATGCGCTATCCTAGAAGAGTTGCATTTATTGACATCAAGGCAGGGATTTACATATAAATATGTACCCTGAAAATACCTCAAACTTATTTCTGATAATGAATTTAGGAATCGACTGCCTATCATGTATAGAAGTTTTTACATGCACATACACCAGCATGCATCTTTGTATGCTAGTGCTCACAGAAAACTCATCATAATAAAAAAAGAAAGTTGGTAAATTGCCTAACTACACATTTCGAAAGGCGAATTTGAAATAAATATCATTGTACAATCATCATATATGATTACAAAATTGTCTGTCATTGCAGGATACTTTCAATACTAAATTAAAGTAAATGTAAGTGAGCCTCAATGGATATATATGCGCAGTTACAACTGACGTCATAATTGCTCAGTTAAGATGACATGCATGATATGAATAGTGACCTGAAGTGCGCCTATAAGCAAATACACATGTTTGTAATTTATACAAAAGAGTTATGAATATGTACCTGAGGCCGATATATAAAAGATAGTAGTGATATTGGCTGGCTCTACTTTCGGGGAATATGAATACGGTATTGAAAATATTGCCCTCAAGAGAATAACACTTCCCTCATCTTACGACTTGGGGCAATCCGATTCTGTTGCAGGCAATATATTCTGATGCCTCCCTCAAGGTCATATGAAAATGGGGAACTTTGATTAAGCTATGCAACCATTTTACTCTCATCTCTCTCTCTCTCTCTCTCTCTCTCTCTCTCTCTCTCTCTCTATATATATATATATATATAAATATATCTGTCTCTCTCTATCTATACAAATATAGATATATATCATCGGAACAATGTATTCCTTGATAGAAAAGCATATATAACAACTGCGTATTATTATTACAAATCACATCTAATGAAATACCTCATAGCTCATCAATAAGACGAATTTGACCAGCCTTTCTTAGAACCCTATTCAGAGCTTCACACTCTTTGGCCTCAGTTTGCTTCTTTCTCCACTTTCGGAGCATTGATAGTGTACCCATGTATGATACTTCTGAATTCTTCATGTTTGTGTCGAAATAACGCTGGATATCTTCTGGACCAAAGCCAAGAGACTTCCCGAGATTATCTATCTCTTCACGCTTGGCAACTTTTCGAGCAACAGTGGTCAGCTTTTCGTCAAAGTCTTTCTGTCCACCTGAAATGTTCCTTAAATAAATATATTTTTAAAATTATGTTACTATATTTATGATAACATGTACTTCGACAACGGGGGGGGGGGGGTGTTAAGTGCTATGCATTTGATTTTAATATGATATCAAATGCATCATGGGTAACAGTGATATTAAATTATTTATTTGTGAGTGAGCCTCAAACTAGTTTCAATTCACAGCGTACTAACAACATTCAATTATAAGCATGTATATTGGACTTTAATTATAAGATATTTGAGCCCAGTTTCCCCTTCTCATCATTTACTGAAGCTTTGTTTTCAATTGTAAACCTATATTGCAACTTAGCAACATATACTTTAAGGAAATAACGTCCAGTCTATATCATGCAGTTTCTGCAGCAATTTGATTATCTTTTACCTTGCAATCATTTTATATTCAATAAAGTTGTGTTTTTTTTCTTCGGGGAGGGGGGGGGGGGGGATTGGTCTGGGGGCAAAGTGCCCCCTTGCCCCTCCCTTCCCCAATTGTTTTTAGTGATTTCAGGTTTATACCTGCACATGCTCTGATCTCATTCGGAATCTACTAACCATGCTGACAGTATTAAAGGTGTAAGAAATTATCATAACTTACTCCAGAGTTTCACCTGTACTTCCATGTGATGTTCGATGTGTCTGTGAACTGGATGCACCTTGCATTTGTTCTGCAATTCGAGAACCAGGAAAGTGTATTACTCATTAACCTATAATTCTGAGTGCTGAATAAAGTAAACTGAATATTTATCTACAATTTAATTTCATTCATTTCTTGCACTCAAGTGAAAATTTCATCTAAAAACAAAGCTACAAAATTAAAAGCAAGCAAGACTTTGGAGTCTTGGTTGCAGACCATTACCTTTTAAAAAATTAAGGATCATTCATTAGATGGAGGTAATTACAAAATTACACCAACCAGAATCTGACATCTCCTTACCTCAGCCACAAACAGAGACAATACATGTGGGAAAGCATTTATGGTAGAATTTCACTTTAATTGACCCTCAAACAGCAGTAATACACACCCCTTAATAACATAACGTTAATGCAGTGGTAATGACAATAAAATGAAATTATCATCTGAATTCAAAACTTTGTAGGATAGTTGATTAATGTACAACTCGAACTGGGACAAGAATATGATATTGTGTCTATAGAAAATATACGCAAACATGTTCCTGATTTGTGATGGTCACAACAACAAAATTGTCACATTAATTGATTTAAGATGAAGCCGAGTTCTGATCATGTAATACATTGTGTGAAATTATCTATCTGGAATTAAAAGTTGATTGTGTAGTACATTGGAATCATTCGGTTTTGAATCATCAGTTTGATATTCCACTGGATCTAGCTTGATGAAAAGCACATGCGCTGCACACAGAAATTAGTGTATGTGACTACACAAACACATTGAATGACTCTTTGGTCCAAACAAATCAGCTTTTTCTTGTCATATATTGAAAATTTAGGGCATTTGAAGACCAATCCTTCTCAGGAGAAATTTCTTTCATGACTTTCTTCCAACTAACATGAAAAAGAAGAAATCTCACAAATAAATTTTCACTTTTATCAGAACTCTACCTCCTATCTAAACCAAAATACCTGGATCTTGTGGAGAAGTTCTCTTTCTTCTGTGAGGAGTTGAGAAAGCCAAAGGAAATAAGAGTTCATCTTCTAGTCTCTCATTTTGTCCTATTCTCAGTGACACTGCAACAATGTCTGGCTGGTTGGTGAAGTCCAATTCAAAGGGCTGACAAATCCTGGCTCCACTCATTAGTTTATCAAAGGGGACAACCTTTAAAACAATGATTGAACGGAGGTCATCAAAAGAGAAGGTAAACAAAACTTCCCTTTATTGTTCTTATTTCAATCATCTGCTTTAGAAGTTTGTACATGTATAACACATTATTGATGTGAATTTAGCTCCAGCAACTATTCGGATTTTGATCATGTTACAAATCAATAAATTTCAACTCAAATTTTAGTAAAATCAAAAATTGCTGACATTTGACCCTTGAAGTCTATTACATTAAGAACAGATATGGCTTGCATAATGAAGGTTTTTATCATTATTGTGTTTACAGATACAGAGAATCTGAATTTAATCAGATTTAATTGCATGTCTTTGATGGCCTCCTCGTGCCGCCATATGTTTAACATTCAATATACCATCTGTACTGAGCTTAGGGTACTGTCGAATAACTGAGGGGTATGCTAATGAAATCTTGTGCCTTTAAAGAGAAGGTTGAGTTCTGGGAAGAGGTGAAAAATAATTTGTGAGCATTATCATTCTTAATATGCAAGTGTGGAAGAACATCATATAAGACATGTTCCCTGAAAAGCATAGCTCTTCAAATGCCTTCATATTCGAAATATGTCATGTTACATCGTAAAACTCGGGGGTAGGATTTTTACGCCACGTGTTCGCGTAGTCCCATATACATCTTTCTGTGTACAGTGTTTGCAACTAACAAAGACTTGGTCAAATTTCTTATCATTTTGATGATTCCAGAACCTTGCAATACACACAAATTCTTATATGCTAAATGAGCAACCTTTTCTGGTCGATTCCACACCGATGCTTTCACAATGCAATCGCGTGACCAGAACTCAACTTCATCTTTAATAGTGACAAAAAGAAATCTGATTATGATGCTATCCTTTATCAAGACACTAAATATACTTAATCACCGTTAGGTAACTAAGGTCATTTATTGACCAGACTGTTGTTTCAGGGATGTCCTGCGAGGCTACCTAATGCTATGGTCACATTACCCAAAAGTAGCCTGCTCGGCGGCCGAGCGGCGAGTTTTTAACCAATTCTGCCCGGCGGCTGCCCGGCCACCGAGCGGCGACCGGCCAGTCACCGCTCGTTGTTAGGGCATCGCTCGGTCGCCGCTGAAGTTTTAGCGCGGAGTTAAAATTTGGGCGGCGCCTGCCCACTTTTCACTCGCCGCCCAAAATACGCTCGGTGCCTGGGCGGTCGCCGCCCGGGCACCGAACTAATCGCTGGGCGATGCCTTATTCCAGCAGCGACCGAGCAGGCTACTGATCGGTCGGTCTTGGGATTGGGGGGTTCCTTCAGCCTTCCTGATATCAAACTGATGGACTGACATCAGAAATGGATTCCCTGAAATTATAGAAATCTTATTATTTTTGGTCGAATCCAAAGGTGTCCGTCAAAAATCAAATTGGTATGGTACGGTCGACATCTCGGCCAAATATAGTGCTATTAGAACAATTTGCACCAAACTGTCATTAGCTCTCCGTAACATCCCCAACTAATTCAGTATCAGAGTTAGAACCAAAACAAACTTTTGAACAAATTAATAATCTTACAGCAGGTCTTCCAACTACTGTCTCCTTTACATAACAGGTCATTTTGAGATCACTTTCTGCTGCCTGAATTACGATCTCTTGTTCTGGATGGGCAGGTACGAATTCTTGTTCCTCTTCTTGTCTTTTTATCAACTGTTATCGAAGAAAAAAAAATTATACAGGCTGTATACATATACAAGGAAAAAGAACAACTAATGTCCCAGCAACAAAACTTGTTTATGAACCAGTTTGTATAGAATAAAGTTTAAATCAAACAATATATACTTGTAACTTAAATCTTTCTCAAAATGAACAACACCTCAGATTGGCAGAATTTTGGCTAAAAAATGCTTTGTCGGTGGTATTGTTTGTCTTATGCTTTTGTTCTTAAGCTCTTAAAGGTACTATGTCCCATTTGCAGGCCAAAAAAATGAAAAAGTTAAATTCCAACTGCATTTGAAAGATAATACTTATTTAGAACTTCCCTAAAAAAGGTGGGGCTTGAAAATGTCTTCAAATGGGAAAATAATGACTATTAGTTGTCAAATCGACTTTAGGGCTATAGAGCCCAAAATTAATAGTCTTGATTTTCAGACAAATGTACCGAATGGTCATACGTTTTATGCTGTGCAAAGAACAAAGATTCAATCAGTTTAATCTTGGCCATCACAAGAAGTGGGTTATTGATGTAGACAAATGCTCATGTACCTTTTACAACTCTTTTCATGTATGTTATTACCAAAGAAGAAAAAAGCCAGTCAGTCACTCAGTAGTGTCTGACAGTGAAGTCTAGCAAGTAAACGGGTTTCCTTGCATAATTTGAATATGAGGACACTTCTAACGTTTAGATTTCACAGATACGACATACATGACACATTCATAATTCCTGCAAAGTTCTACAGAATTTGAGGATGGCTGCAAAAGGGACATAGTACCTTTAAGAGCCTCTATATTGTACACCAAATGCAATGTATTGTGAACATTTTAAAACATACTGTACTTTAGCTGTAGATTTAATGGTGATTCTTCCAATAAATGATTTTTTTTTCCTGAAAAGTATGAACCAAAAAACTGTGGATCTTTGCCACGATACAGATTCCTTTACTGCTGCAACAAAAATTTACCTCGCAATTCCCTTTTATGGCATCATAGAGGTGTGCACGTAAGATGACAGGTGTCTTCTGTAGGGGTAGGTTCTTTTCTTTAAATGGCCGACAGCGCATCTTCTTTCCTTTGAAGAAGAAATTCTTGATCATCAACTTAATCTTCGCCCATGAAAAGTGGTTCATCTTCAGTTTGAGTACATCTTTTTTGATGGTGCAGCTAGGTGTTCCAAACCTCGACAACACAATTCGTTCTTTAACAACTGCATCTATAATCAACAATTTGGCGATAAAAGTCATGAAAACTGTGGACACATTAAATCGAGGGATAAACATAGTTCTTAAAGTAATTCAATAACAAGCAAAGGCAAAGACCTCTGCCTAGATTCATTGTGGGGTTCATTCATATTAGCAAAGTTAACCTTAGACATTTTTTTAGGCCAACATTTCGGCACCTGACCCTTCAGACCAATCTCTCAAGAAATAGGTCATCTTTATAACCTGTCTAAACACAGAAATAGGTCAGGGACAGTATTCTGAAAACTTATATTTAGTCCCAGAAATTTACATACCATACCTCTGAATTGGTAATCTGAAAACTATGTTAAGGGTATATTATCCTAACACTGACACTTCAATTTAAATAAATTATCTAATGATAATGTCTCTCAAAAAGTACTCAGCATATTGTGTTTCATGTTAAATTGTGCCTTTACAGCTACGGGAACTATAGCGCATATTTATCGAGCATCATCAATTGATACGCCCTACCTTTGTCCTGGTCATTGTCACGAAGGTACTCATAAACAGCTACGTTAATCCTTCCTTTTCTACGTTTCCTATGTTTGTTTTTTGTTAAAAATGTGTAGATTTGCAGAGTCATATAGCAGTTTTCAAAGAAACTACAAAGGAAAAAGGCAAGAAAGAAAATCCCAACTGCATTTCACGTAATACCCCTAGACCAACATTATTTTCTACATTTAATTATGTATTATGTTTTTTGCTAAAAGAGTTTTCAGAATGCCAGAACTATAAAAAGCCTCGGTCACAAATGCCATTACGAACTGCTACGAACGTCGTACAAACGATTTTCAGACAATAGAAACTTGGGAAGACAATGGAAAAACAGGGAGATTCGCATCGTTCGTACAAACCTTTGTGACCGTAATAACCTCTCACGTTTAGTCCACAGCCACGTATGAGGTTTGCTTAAGTTTAAGAGTATGCGCATTGCACCTTCCCGCCAAAATATATGTAAACACTGTATTGGACTTTAAATCATTTTCAGAATACAGATTATAATAGCTAACATACTTTTCACGGTAACATAGTATCAGAATACAACCCAAGTTCAAAGACAACTTTTTTGTTTGCATTATTCCCAAATTGTCACTATATACATTCAATGTAGGTTACATTTTACGTAGTTTATCAGTAAAATAAAGTGGGTCCATACATCGCGGGGCATATTACCAAGGGAGGGGGCACCTGTCATATTGGTTGATGAAGTGCAAATTGAAATGGCTATTGATGAGAGAAAGGTATGCATGGGGCAGGAAAAACAGCGGAGGGATTATAGCATTTTCTTGTCAAGCTTCATTTCCCCCTTTAAGTTTTTAACGATATATTCTTGTTCGCCAAGGAGAAAGAAACCGACGATGATGGCGACAATAAGAGGAAGGGAAGCAGCACTAACCATACACATGACCTGGCGAGTCTGGAAGAGACGGGAGAGGATGTGGGGGGGGGGTTACAAAAGTTTAAATCGTTCTTATGATAGACCGTAGTGTACAAGACTGCCTTCACACTTGAGTATTGTGAATATTGTTGGGACGCCTTCTGTCGCAAAGCGTGCGATTTGAATGCACTTCAAGAAGGGTCTTCTTAAGATTTCCATATCAAGTTTAGGTCAATAAATGTTGTGCTACCCAGTGTCATTATTGATTCGTGACTCTCAGACATTCGGTTTAAAAAGGTGCTCTGAAATTTTAGCTGCCATGCACAATGGCAAGTGCTTTGTTCTGGAGTGATTGTTGATACACACATGTGGACTTGATTTAACAAAAAGTGAAATCTAATGGAATTATTGTGAGCAACTTTTTAAAACCAATGTACCAAAAAATGTCATAACTATCTCCAGTTAGAATAACATCCTTCAACTTTACAATGTGAAGACCTCAATGACTTTTTGAGTCACTCACGATCAAAAGTGTAAAACGTTCTTATAATACACATAGTACTTTTAATGGAAAATGGGAGTTACATTTGTTTATTTACTTATCACAAAGTGCTTCATTTAATTACAAAAAGGTTTTGACAGACATTCCTCAAATGCCATTGCTACATGATGTCTATGCATGTTGAGATGCACTTACCGGGTGAGTATTCTCCCTCTCCCGTGTACAAGACTGCCTTCACACTTGAGTATCGTGTAATCACAGCACAGTGGGGTAATGTGTAAGTCACCGGTAACTTAAGGACTAAGTCATCAGGGGCTAAACACTGTACATCAAAGCAGACTGACATCTCTTCTTTGCTGTTGCCAAGATTAGGAGTATCTGTCAGGACACGAAGAGAAATGTGCTGCGGCGCTTCGCTGTCAATTGCACCGGGAGGGATCTCAAGTTCAATTCCGAAGGAATCTAGCTGAAGTTTGCCACCTTGAACTCCAACTCTCTTACAACATTCCATCTTGATTGGTTTGAAATTTACTTCATCTGGTACTGAAAATCATAAGAGATATTTCCATTAAACCCTTTCTGTGAACCCTCTGCAAACAATAGAACAAATACATCTACTTGTACTTCAACATTCTAGCAAAATACAAGATATAGGTTATAGAGCACTAAAGAGCAATGTCACTATGAACTATCCTTTTCATGTCAGGAATAAGTGTAAAAGAAGTATATTTTTTACACATTTTTATCTTTTAAAGGCGTCGTTTTCAATTTCTTCTTTATAACTGTTGCTTATATTTTAGATTCTAGATTGTGGAAAGATATATGAATTTAGATATACAATCTTTGAGATTTAGCAATTTATATGAATGATGTTATATTTCAACGTATGATTTAGAACAATTACATTTTACCGATCTGTCATGAATATATTGTTATAATACAATGAAAAAATAAGATAAAAGAAAAATATTGTAATCTACCCTGTTTTTCTATCTTTTGCCGAACATTACCAAACTTTCTACTTGCTAGAACCACGCATGGTAGGCCCATTTTCACTAAGAAACATCTCTGTTGGATACTGTTGTATATTTTTACAGAGATTACGCCATCCAGCATCCACAGTTTTATATATGTATACATGAGCTTGTACTACTCTCGCTCTCATGTCGTCGAATCATTAATACATCAAGCATCAACCGGTAAAAAGTATTCAAATACTTTATTCTTTGTTTTGTGTCTCAGCCATGCTTGTGAATGAAATGGACATAAAACAAGAGACATCTCCAGGGAGACATTGATTTTCTGCCCTCATTCTCCAAATCAATTTCTGCTGATATTGTTCAGAGCACAACATTGACCTGTTTCATGGGGCAAGCTTTCCATGGCAATGTGATCCTCTTCTTCCTCAGTGTTCTGGGTGTCCGTTTGTTCTTCATGCGCTTGGACCCTTGCTGTGGCTCCAACAAGCTCGTCTGTCAGATAAAATGCTTGCGAACGTTGCGAATTTGGATTCGCCAACTTTTCTGACGAATGTTGGCGAAAATCAGCGACATTAAGTGACGTTTAGCGACAATTAGCAACATTTCAGCGAATGTCTCCGAAAGTGTTTGCGAAAGGCAGTTGGCGACTATTAGCGACTGTAAACAAATGTTAGCGACAACTTTTGCGAAGATTAGCAACAATTTGCCAATCCTTTGCCACTATTTGTGAACGTTTGAGACCTTTTGCTAACTACTGGTACTCAATGGGTCGATTTTATAAAGGAACCATATGGTAACGTGGTCGCTAGCTTTGGCGAAACAAAGAGCAAAACCGTTTAACAACCGTTTGCAAAGGATTACGACTGTTTTGCAAACGCTAACGACTGTTTTGCAAACGCCTGTAACTGTTTGCGGAAAAAAAAATTCGCAAAGAAATTTTGAACATGTTCAAAATTTCTTTGCGACAAGAAAAACTGTTTACAACAAAGAAAACTGTTTGCGATCTTTCTTGCAACCTTTAACAACATTTTACAAACTCTGGCGAAACCCCAAATTCGCTACGTTCGCAAGCATTCGCCGCTCAGTGAGATAGGCCCTTTAACGGATTCAGAATATAGATCTTTTTCAATTAGGCTACTATTATAATGATTACAAATTCTGAGTTTGAGTTGAGTTTGAGTTTGAAGTTTATTATCCAAAACAAAAAGTACATCAATATAAAAATCAAATGTGAATGATTAATTAACATTGAAAGGATAAATGGGACCAGAAAATAGCATTTAATGCTAATCGTGTCTAGTACCACTAACACACAAAAAGTATCACAGCAATAAATGAGAATGTAATGAATACATATGAAAAACTATTGAATTCATACCTAAGCTACAAACTATTCTACATCTAGGGTAAATGTGTTCTGTGCTTATATACAAAGCTTTGGTATTTTACACTAAATAAAAGATGAAGAATTATATAACAAAATATTTACAAAAAGGCAAGAGCCTTGGTTCTAAGTTATAAACAACTATTATATTAACATTTGGGATAAAAGAGTTCTACGAAAGCAAGACACTGATGCTTTCTCCCTTACAGAAAGGGGTAGATCATTCCAATAGCGTGTTCCTCTGAATGACATTGAAAATTTACCTTGCGTTGTCCTTACTTTAGGCACACTTAACTTCTTACTTTCTCTTTGTCTAGTTTCATAGTTGTGCTCTATGAAACAGCAATACTGAATTAGAGACTGTGGCAATTTATCATTCAATAATTGATACATAAAAACACAAACAGATAATTTATGGAGTTGATACAAATTCAATAATTTTAGCTCCTGGAATATCGGTTGTGAATGAGTCCTAATTGGATTAAACGTTATAACTCTTAGTGCCATCTTTTGGCTTAATAATAAACACTTCATGTTCATTTCATAATTACTTCCCCAAACCTCAATTCCGTAGGTCATATGCGGTTGGATTAACGTCTTATACAGTAACAATAAAACACGCCTTGGCACAAACTGTCTTAATCTATATAAAACACCAACTCTTTTCCTAATAAACTTATTAACCCTTTGGATATGAGGTTTCCACGTCAAGTGTTGATCTAAATAAATTCCTAGAAATGATGCAACATCAACCTGGGCTATTTCAGTCTCTGCTATTTTTAGCACCCCTTGAGTCACTACTGATTGCCTACTCCCTCTTATTAACAAATAATTAGTCTTTAATAGATGGACTGTCACTGTAAGTTTATTCACCTTACACCATTTGGTCACCTTGTCAAGATGCATATTAACTATATTATCCATATCAATTGAATTCTGTCTCGGTGGAAACGTATGAAACAAGTTAGAATCATCGGCAAAAAGTCTAAAATTAAAATAATTTGTTGAGTTTGGTAAATCGTTTATGTACAACAAAAACAGTGTAGGTCCCAACACAGAACCCTGAGGAACACCACATGTTATTATCTGCTTCAATGAGCTATGTCCATCATAGTTCACAAACTGAAATATATTACAAAGATAATCTTTAAACCACTGGAGAGGCAGGCCCCTTATTCCATAATGTTCTAATTTTCCAGCCAATATTGCGTGATCAATTGTATCAAAAGCTTTCTGGAAATCTAGGAATACACCTAGTGTTACACTGCCCTTATCCAGTGATTTTAGCACATCATTAACCAAATTAATTAAAGACAACTTAGTACTATAATGTTTACGAAAGCCATACTGGTGCTTATACAAGACACCATTTCTTTCAAAATAATTAAGTAGCCTCTTGTTTACTAATTTCTCAAATATTTTGGCCAAAAGAGGCAAAACTGAAATAGGTCTGTAATTGCCTGGGACATTTCTATCTCCCTTTTTAAAAATTGGTGTAACTTTGGCTACTTTCATTGCATCTGGGAACACACCGTTCAATAATGACTGATTATAAATATAAGATAGTGGTTTTGCAATTACTTCAGCAGCATCCTTCAGTAATCGGGCTGGAATATCATCAAAGCCGCAAGCTTTCTTTACATTTAAAGTTAATAAATAGTCCCGTACCTCATAATGAGTAACTGGTTCTCAAAACATGGATTTAATTATTCCATCACTAAGATAACCTTTGAATGTAATAACATCGTCAACATTACCATTAATAGATTTAGCAAGGTTAGGCCCAACGTTCACAAAAAAAATCATTAAAGCCTTCTGATATTTCTTTCCCTGAGGTTACAACTTTCTTACTACCATTATCATCAACACAGAGCTTATCTACATGTGACGTTTTTACTTTACTGTTTCCACTCTTCAATAGCTTATTTATTGACGTCCATGTTTGCGCTGTTTCACCTTTATACATTTCAAATACATCACTATAATATTTCCTCTTCGCATTCCTCAAAACTGTAGTTAAAACATTTCTATACGTCCTATATTTTTTCAAATTATCTTCACTATAGTTTGATTTTAATACTTTACCATACAATTTATGTTTCTTTTTAATTGAATTCTTAATAGCTCTATTCAGCCATGGTTTATTATTTTTCCTCCTGGAAGAGTGACGATGAACAATCGGAGCATATTGATCACATATACCTATGAATGATTGTACAAATATATCATATGCTTTATTAACATCAGTACATTCATATACATTTTCCCAGGATTCCAAGAGTAGACTATCCCAAAACTTTTCTTTCTCATAGTTTTTATAACTTCTATATCGTACTTCTCCTTGTGGTTGTAATTTTACTGAGCTATCTTCAAAAATAGCAAATATAGGGAAATGATCAGAAACGTCAGTTACAATTGTACCAGTACATATACGATCTGCACCCATATTTGTGTAAATATGATCAATTAAAGAACCTGACATGGGTGTTACCCTCGTAAGGGTCTTAATTAATTGATGTATCCCCAAACACACTAAGGAAGTAACTAACATTTCAGCATTTACGCTGGGGTTATACAAATCACTATTGAAATCACCCATTAAAATACACAACTTTAATATCAACTTTAATCCTTTCTATTAACACAGACAATAAACTCCCTTGAAACTGGAAAATATCAGTGTTTGGTTTTTTATAAATGACACCTACAACAACGGAACGATCACCGATCTGAACCTCAAGCCATAGTGATTCAGCAAAGTCAATATCATACTTTAACATTTTATATTTCAAAGAAGAATGAACAGGGTCCCGGCAATTCACTTCCAAAGTATAACCATCTATCACAAGGATATCTGCACAAGATACATTCCAGACTTCAGACAATCCAATTAAATGAAATGTTAATTTGATGCATTCTTCATACAATAATCTTAAGGCATCAATATTCTTATTTAAAGATATAATATTTATATGAGAAATCGTAAAAGCTTTTGGGAACTTCGAACATAATCTGTTATCAAATTCGAATGGGGTTAATTCAAAAGAGTCAATATCAAACAAATTAATGTCTTCGTTAATATCGAACATAATGAAATATTCGGGAATCTAACATAGCCTCAAAATTGAGTGAAACATACTAGGCAAGGAAATGGAGCTTAAAATCGCCGTATT